ATCTAGGTTAAATTCACGAGCGGCTCCACATCAGCATGTTTGCCTTTTGGCTCCAACTGAGTTCAGCACTGAATTATGATCATTTTCTGAATGCATCAGCAGACTGCAGTCTTTCTTAACCCACACATAAATGCATGCATGTGCAAAGTGCACAGCTAATCTGACAACGTACTTTTGTTGAGCGCATACCTCTACACTAAACATAGTCAAAGTTAAAGGCAGAGCGTCAGGTGCCGGCAGAGACTTTAGTTATTATCTGATTTGACCCCTCTTTTAACTCTGCTTGACAGGTTAATTCTTGAAGTGGATTTTTTACAGAAAAAAAATCACAATAACATGACAAACAATGCCAAGAGACCATTCATTCATCCCATTTTTTGTCCTGACATATCCTTTCTTTGGTGACAGCTCAGTGTGTATTGTCTGTCTGCATCAAAAGAGATAAGAGTTATTATTATATGTCTTTAGTGTGCTTTTTTGTGTCAGTACTTGTTTTGGGATCATCTGCTCAAGGGTAACAAAATCTTAGGAAGTTCTTAACTAAAGTAAATGTATTTATAACCCCAAAGTAGCTATTGTCTCTCTTTTCAATTGGGGCAACTTAGATTTTGTGAAGGGCAATTTTTCCCAAATGCCTGGCACCCCAGTGCACAGTGGACATCAATACTTAAAGACTTGTCGCTCCACAGAGCAGCCCACAGAAGACTTCTACTGCAGCGTGTGCAGCGTGAGGCATGATGAAAGCTCCCACTGGAGTCTCCAGCTCACTGCATGTTCTTGGTCATGGCTGATTTGATCAAATTTCCCAGGAGAGGTTCACTGTTCTGCCACAAGGTCACTGAGGCATCAGGATCTGCCCCCTGAGTCACTGCAGGCCAGAATTCAATCAAATGGACCGTTATGCCAGTGGAAGGTAAAACTTTGAAATTAAAACAGTGGCTTTTAAGGAAAGATAAGGGCGTCGAATGAAGTGGATTTAAAAAAGAGATGCTGGCTCCTAGCTCTTCACAAATCACGCAAAAACACAGCAGTTAGGTGTAAGGACACTCATTAACAAAAATAAATGTGCCAGTTAATGAACCTGGAGCGCAACACACGAACAGTGGAGTCTTTTCCACAGATTTTACGAGCACATATTTATGTACTGTGAACAAGAAGGTCATTTCAGGGAGAGAAAAAAAACAAAAAAAACAACGACATGCATGATCGGAGAAGCCAGTCGCTCTACCCAGTGTGGCGATGCCCACTCTTTCTGTGCAACGCTGACTCGCAACAGAGCTTAGAGGACACGGAAGCCTGTGCGCAATAAATAAAACAAAAAGCATCAGTGATTGACACATCATTAGATGTCCATGAATTATTCAATATCTGCAATCATATTGGTTTGCTGATGGATCAACATGCTGAGGAGCATACGGGCCCAGGGAACCTGATTGCAAGTTAAAAGCCTCCCGAACTCCACCGCTTCATATCTGTAAAAATCTGTCAGTCATTAGCGTGGAGAGCAGTGAAAAGGAGCGCGCCTGCTCGGTCCTCTGAGGTTGATTTGGAACTCCTGCTGTTCCAAAAGAAAGGCTGCATCCTTTCTAGCTTTGAGATGGCTCTGATTGAAGACATGATTGTGAATGTGGGTGAATTTCACGGTTAGGGGCATGAAACCCTGAGTGAGATAGATGGAGAGACGAGGAGGGGGAAATCAGGAAGTCGGCGACTGCAACCTTGCAGGATGGACCTGCCTGGGTTTATGCATTGGATACACGCAAAATAAACACACAAAAAAATGTGTGCACAGGGGCAAGCATATGTGCATATATTCTAGAAAAATAGAAACAGAAACCCACTAGTGAGCACAGAGGCACAAACACAGTTAGCTGTGTGTCAACAATCTCTGCATCCATCACTGTATGTGCAGAGGAAAACCCACTCCGACTGCTGCATCCTTCCCCTCCGCTCCTCAGCCTTCCGATACGGCCACCGCCGCCCATTTGCATATCAAACAAGACAGCCATTCACAAGCAATGACAAATGATTTTTCTGATCATTATTACGGCTCCACACTACAACGGCGCTCCCCAGCTCGTGCAGTTGGTTCCCCTCGTATGAAGGTGAGTGAAAAGCTTAAATAACCATTCCCTTATCTCCACCGGCCAGAGTTAAGTCCTGCTGTGGACTGGACGCTCACCGCGCCAGAGTTTTGGCTACAGCAACGCTGCATATGCCAAAAATCTGGGAGTTAGCAGCAAAATAAAGGATCAGCCTTTAATGGGGCTCATTTATCAGAGCAGATGTGAACAAATTACTGCATAAATGGCCTAAAAAGGTTTTCCGGAAAAAAAAAAAAAAGTTCCTGTACAGTACTTCAAAGTTCTATCTCTTCAAGAATATTCTAATGAAATATGAAAAAACAACACGTGTGTGCTGACTTGGACCTGGACTGCCAAGTACAAGAGCGTTATTTATTTACATCACTGCTCATATTGAACATGAATAAAACAAGAGGTCTGGAACTGCAGTATAAACAAGATTCAAAGAGGAATAAAAAGTGAAATAAGTTGGGAGTTTCCGTGGTGTAAACAAATGATCCATCTCTGTATTAGTCCAACATCTCCGAGACCCAAAATAGACTTGAAAAAAGTTCAAGAGTTCAGACGATAGTTCGTGCAAAATAAATTGCCGGGTTAATCTGCGGAGCTCTTTCTGAGTTGGTGAGACTATGAATGATTTACAGCACCTGTCTGTTGAGTTGATTTGCCAAACCAGCTGCCTGTTGTTCACAAATCAGCTGTGGAGTCGCTGTTCCCACTCCATCTTTAAGATGATTCTTCATACCCACAGGTGTGGTTTATACCTCCATTACGTTGTTCAATTACAATCGCTAATTTCTTATTATTCGACAAAATCATCTTCATGCACCAACGACACATGTATGTACAGCAGCACACGTTATTTTTGTTTGTCGTATCTCTAACCAGCTCACCTCCACAACTGTGAATTTCATTAAAAACGCATTTCCTGTTAGTTCTTTTTAATGAAGCCGCCCTCTCTGTGCTCCCTCATCCACTCTGCTTCAAGCGGTTTTTAAAAAGGTGAGTTTTTTTTGTTTTTTTTTTTGTGAAGGAAACACAACTTCATTAATTTATATCTGTGCAGCCAAGAAGAGATTTACTCATATAAAGAACTGAAGATTTAATATTAGTAAATGACTTGCCTTTTTAAATTCATAATTAGGTTTTATATATATATAGTGTTCTTAATTTAAAACATGAATCAGAATGACGCATCTGTATACATATACATATTTATGTATATGTATGTATACATCTATAAAGTTTATTTATCTTTAAAGATTAAGGTTAATAGGATCTGATGTGCAGAAATCAAAACAGAAGTAAACGCTGCAGCTCCTTATTTATTCCCCAGTCCTCACCTTGACATGCAGCTTACACCATCAATGTTTGCAGGATGAATAATTAAAAATGTTGATCTTCTAAAGACACTGCTCAGGTCAGTGTCACTGGAAAAAAGAAATGTTGATGTTTATTTTGGAATAAAAAAAAATCTATTAACCTTAAATCATTAAACCTTGTTTTTAACTGATTCCACAAAGAGATTTTAAATCCGTGTCTAGCTTGGAAAGAGTTTATAGCACCAAAAGTTTGTATGAGCTGGTCACACCAAAAAAAAAAAAAAAAAAAAAAAAAAAAAAAAGATGATAACTGATCGTCTTTCCTCCCATACTCCAAAAACACATGTTATTATGTTAATTGGACAGTCATTACACTACATCTCAACTCACTGCATTAGCCACAGGTAAGAGTGTGAGTCCCTCCAGGACCTGGAGAGCCTCAGTGGATGACTGCTGGGATTCACTCCGGCCCCCTCCCTCCAGCCTAACGGGGTAAATGTAACTGGGTAGAAGATTAATAAAAGCTTTTTTTTTAATGTTCACACACAGAAGAGGGAATGGCTGGAGTCTGTGGAGCCCTTCATGCCCTCAGATATACTGGCAGCTCTCAAATTAAGCAGCGCAGAGACAAAGGAATCAAATGCGTTTCCATTACGGGAAAAATATTCCATCTACCCCCCTGTCATAATGACACTGTATAGCAGCATTACGGGGAAATATCAAATTAGGCTGTTTCATTTGGAGGACTGTTGTGCATTGCGAACAGCTTTGGAGATCAATTGAGCTGCTAGGTAACGAGCGGCGGCGGCCTGCTCTAATATACTCAGTAATGTTCTTTTGATTGCTTTGGTTAATCTCGCGCCGCCATGTAGGGGAGGTAGCCCCTTCTCATACAAGTCAGGCCTCGGCCCTGGTTCGCGGAAGAAAAAGCGATGACAACGGCTGGATCTATTTTTCTATCTGGACAATCCCCTAGTGAACGTCACACCAGAAGGAATTCATTTTAACCCACTGAGAAAACCGGGTAATTCTGCTCTAATGCTGCTGAGATTTGGCAAATGCAGAATAGTGTGAGCGAAGGAGCAGAGACGCAGCTGAATTGGCCACGGTGGATGACCTTCAAATGAAGTGTCGAGGATGTGTCAATGCTGGAGTGGATAGAATCAGACGAAATGCACCACTCTGCCGCTCTGAAAGCAAAGCTCTCACTCACGCCGCCCTCATAAACAAGTAAGAGGTGCTCTGTGGCTCCCAGAGACTCGCAGCTGTGACCATTTAATATGCACCGGCTCAGATTTATTCCTCTGCACCTTTTGCTCTCGCCCAAAATACGAACAAACCTGTCCAAACACTGTTGCAATATGCTGCACCACACCACTCCGTGCCACACTATCTGCCATATTTCACTGAGCAGAGTGAATATTTATTTGCTCAAACTGGATTGCTCAGCATCCACACACATTTGTAAAACCATCCGCGTGTACGCCGGGCTGTCAAATTAGTTTTATAGATGTGCAGGACGGCGAAGGCACCGGCCAGGAGCTGCTGGATATGTTTTCTTTGCAAAAAAAAAAAAATATGGAGTGACTCCTACCTTTCTACGTGGTCCAGGTTTCCTGATACGCCCAGTCCTCCGATGGCATAGAGTTTGCCGTCATACACCAGGCTGTTGTGTTTGCAGCGAGGCACCGTCATGCGGGACACCAGGTTCCAGTTGTCCAATAAGGACATGTAACACCAGACGTCAGCCAGCATCACGCCCGACTCTGTGCCACCTGAAACGTACGGAACAACAGTTATTAAAGTGTAAACGTAGCTGGTTATTGGGAGTTTTCCCACGGCACTATCTCCACAACTCAATACGTTTTGGTCCACATGGGGAATTTAATCACATTTCAACCACAATAACAAGAAAGTAGAGAAAGATTTCCGGGAGCACAAAACCTCAGAAAATCTCCCTGTGTTTTTCAGCAGGAGGACACGGCTTCTTGTGAGTTTTAAAATATCCTAAACCTGGAATGAAAATACCTCTAAAACCCCTGACCATAATATATACTAGAAGAGAAAGCCAGATTATAAATAATTTAAAAATAAAATACTTAAAGGTGGACTTTTTTTTTCAATTTTTCAGAACAGCAGACCTGTTAGTTTTCAACCCGACTTGTCCCTTGCATGTGAAGGAGGGAGTTTATGTAGAAAAAGTTTTTCCTGTAGCTATGGAAGTCCAACATCAATATAAGAAAAAAGGTGTGGAAATGTGACTTTTTAGTTTTTTTGGGAAGGCTGAGAAACAGCTTAAAGTGACTGAAAATGGTTTCCTGTTGGGCTGACAGGTGAGCCAGTCGCTCCGACAAACCTTTACTTGTTTCAGCTCTACTTGTAGCGCAGCTGTTAGCCGCGTAGTCTGACATGTAACACCAACTGTCTCAGCGTCCTCACTGAGGAAGTCTGAAGACCGGAGCCTGTTGATTGGCTGGGGGAGAACACCTATGATTTCCCCCCTGACTGACTGACTCCCAGTGGACACATGGCGACCTGTTCCAATGCCCAAACACAAATTTACATTTATATGAAAAAAGGGGAGAGGAAAGGTACACGGAGGACAAATCCTGTTGCATTTCAACGGTGCAATGTCAAGGTCTGATTACCGTGCAGGATTCTCGCACAAATGGACCGTGTAGGTAGAAATTCAGTCTACCCTCTGTGAGAGCAACTTAAAGGTGTTTCACTGAGGGAAGTCACAGAGTGCAAAGTGTGCCACTGTGGAACGAAATAAACTGCAGAACACTGCAGCAAGTGTAGCACTAGACAGAGAAAAAGCCAGACAGCCGAGAGAAATCAAGTTTAAAAAAAAAAAAAAAAATTACACCGGAGATGGCACAGAGAAGAGACACTCTACCAAACAAAAAGAGAAGTTTTCTGAGAAGAATGACAAAGTGGTGTGTGAAAAAGTCTGGGACAGAAAAAAAAAAAAAGTTTCAGATCAACAATGAATAAGCTCCGAGGGCAGCCAGCCTTTTAACACTAACTGTTTGTAAAGGTCACAGACGGAGGCTGCAGCCTGGGTAGCTTTACTCTGCTGAATAATTTAATGGCACAGAGTGAAAATATCCTCAGAAACTTCACATTAGGGACTCATGAGAGGCTGAGGGAGAAGTGATAAGATTTAAAATTGAAAATACAAAGACAACAAACACATTAAATCAAACAGTGAATACTTTTAAATGTATTTAACTTAATTAGTTCAGAACTGGCTCACTTTGAAAGCAACCAGTAGTACGCAAAGTAGAAGAAAAAGGAATTGTGAATAAGAATGGCCACCATGAGATTGACGTCTTTGTACACAAGTGCTATACGCATGTTTTTTTCCAGGGAAATTTCCTTTTTTTCCATTTTCAAAACACTACTTCAGGAAAGTTTTGTTTTATTTATTCAACTTTAAGTCAAGTAAGAGTTTTTTACACAAGCCGAAAAACAAAAGATTTCACAGTTTGTGAAAGGCTGTTTCTAATTTTAGGCTCCGACTCACCTGACAGGTAGATGTTGTCTCCTGCTGAGATGACGCTGAAGAACTCCCGGTCATAGAACGGCAGGCTGGCCAGCGGATACCACTTACTGTTCTGAGGGTTAAAACAGGTGACTGCTGTCAGGGAGCGCTGGTTCATCCCGATGGCCTGACGCCCTCCCACCAACACTATCACCTCGGCTACACCTGGAAGACAGGAAGGGACGGAGGACAGGGTGAAAATGAGAAGAAGGATGGAAGAAAACAGGGGCATCATGGGTAAAATAACACACTTCCACACACAGTAAGTATGACATGAACAATGAGTCTCAATTTTAAAAAAATAATGAAAAGGATAATCGTTACAGAAGAGGACTGAATATACTTGAAGGTATTAAAAATAAATACATAAAATAAAATTAAAAATAAATATATAAAAAAGTATTTTTTTAAATATTCCTCCCTGTATAAAAGAGTAGACTTTGTAAAGCATCAAATAACTAGGATCATCGGAATGCAACTGATGAAATAGTTTAATTAGCAAAAGAAAAGAATGTGACACGGGATCAAAGTCATCTTTGAGTGATTTTATTGGAGTTTTAGTTGAGGTATTAGTTAATGAATCTGGTTCGGCTTGAAGCTGGTGTCGAAGCAATAAAATTAAGTGAACCACAAAAGTCTTTGTCCTTCAGCTTACAGGCTGAATTCACTGGAAGTCAGTTTAAAGTTTTAAAGTTATATAAAATGGACAGGTTTTCTTAAGCTTAAAGAGCGGCTCAGTAAACATTAGAAAACACGAGAAAAGACGAATGTATGGAAGAGTTAGAGACAAAGGAAGAGAGGAAAGTGTATTTACTACGACTGACGTCGGCTTCGAATCTTCGCCCGGAAAAAAAAAAAAAAAAAACTTGCACTTTGCAATTTGCTGTCAACAGACGCACGGTGAAACATACACGGAGCAGGACATAGGAGGATCATGGAATCAATACCACAGAATCAATGTGAGTACATTTATATGTAGAGATGGGCCTTGTCTCTCCCTCTCTCTCTCTCTCTCTCTGTCTCTCACTCACACACACACACTCTCTAACTGAAAGCCTGCCGGTGATTAAGGAGTGGACTTTAAACATGTTCAGCACCTGATCTCTGTGTGTCTACAAGAATGCACAAACACGTGAACACACACACACTCACACGCACGCACGCACACACCCACAGCTTCACGATAGAGACACCAGTGATCCAGAACACACAAACAGGCTGGCAGGCTGCCACGTGCACGTCTCAGGTCCTCTCAGTCTTCAGCAGCAGGCACCAGTGTGCCGGCAAGACCACGAGCTGCCAAACAGAAATGAGCTGTGTGTTTGTAAGCAGCGGGAAAGCGGGCAGGCAATCAGAGGGAGGCGAGCCAGGGCGGGAGAGGAGAGGGCGATAGGTTGAGGCAGAGAGAGCGAGAGAGTGAGAGGTAAAAAAGGGGAGAGGAAGCTAATCTTCATATACTAAGAATAACCACTGCTTTATCTGCTCCAATCAATATCTCTCCGAGCAGACGCTCACCTCGCTGGAGCATCCTGTCAGTTCCTCCACCTCCCTTTATTAAAAAACAAATAAATAAATAAATAAATAACCCCCCCCAAAAAATCAGGAATTTTATTTTCATCAAACCTTGATTTTCACTTCAAAACTACTGAAACAGAGAGCCGTCTGTGGAAGATGAAAAATGGTCGGCGGGGAGGAAGATAAGAAAAAGAAAAAAAAAATCTACAATAGGATTTACCGAGGCTGCGCAAACAGACTGAGCCGTAAGCACTACCTCAGACATTCAGACATATCGTGGACATACAGCTTAGACAGAGTGGACATCTTAAAGCTGACAGAACGTAAACCCACCCCACCCCCCTCGTGCCGTCCTTTGTGAGATGTGTAGTACAGAACAGAGAGCAGAGGCTGAAGGAGAAACTGTGACGGTGTCACGGTGAAGTCGAACAATCCAAGGAAAAGGACAATCATGATGAAATGCGAAAGGCTTAGGAGTTTGTCATCTTCTCCGGCAGCTTTTGACAAATGGACTGACTTACAGCACCACCACTACCACAACAACAAAAGTTAAAGTCGTCCACATCACCGCTCATACACTTGCACTGCGTTGCGGCGTCACGACCCGACTCTGAGCCCCACACAGCCCTCAGGACCTCCAGCAGACCTTGGATGTGCTGTTAACAAATGGGAGTGTACTTTTATAGGACGGCCGCAGCTACGGCCGTCCGCTCTTTGCTAGAAAACAATTCGTGAATAGAGGTTGTTTGTCTTCCCTCTCACGAGCCTCCAACCCTACCTACACGCAGTCATTAATTATATTGACTTTGTTCCACTGTTGTTCTTTCTCGCGATTGCTCTGGATGTTTGCGCTCTCATTTCTCTTCATCACATAGTACTTTTCAACTTTATTGGATTGTAAGAGTTTCGACTGATTCCGAGGCCTTTACGAGATTACCAACCTAATCTCCTTTCATCTCATTTTCTTTCATCCCATTAGCACTTTTATTCTGTTGCTATTGACCGTCTTGAACAACTTGGCGTCGTTCTTGTGTCTGTGTCTGAGCCAACTTTCTTTATTCGCGCAAGTCAATCAATGCGTTGCTGTTGGGTAAATATATTCACGGGGTCATAAAGGCTGGAAGAAATGTTTTAACATCGTATTAAAATGCAGAAAATAAATACCAACACCGTGTTTCCGAATAATATGGGTCCAAAGATATTCACACCACAACGGATGGAAATGGAGCTTTTTCCTCTTTAGACAACTCCAAGTGTCTAATTAGGCTAAGCGTCGCAACAGAACATGCATGGAGTGTGCATCTGCACACATGTGAGGCTTTATTATCACCAAGCGCACACGTGCCGGGCTGTTCTCTGTGTTTTTTTCCGCTTGGAGAGACACGTCAGCGAGAGTCCACATCTGGACGCTGAGGCGGCTGCTGCTGTGCTGCTTCGACCCCAAAGCCCTAAACACATTCGCAAGCTAACACAACAACGACCTCTCAGAAGGAAACAAAACAGGAGAGGGGCACCGCTGACGGGGAGTCACGACATCGGATCAGTTGGTTGTGTGGGTGTATGCGAGTTTTCTCAGACAGCAAAGCCTCGCAGGGATGACTGTCAGTCAGCAGAAGGTTTGATGGGAGTTGGGTGGAGGGATGAAGGGATGGAGATCGATGGATGGAGACGAGAGGTTGGGGATGAAGGGATAGCCAAGTCTTGACAGCTCTTGTTTTTTTTCCCTGACAGAGTTTATACCCATGACAGGTTGGAGAAATGTCTCCTTTTCCTGATCGTTTCTGACTTTTCGTTACATATAAATTATGATTCTTTTGTTGTATTTGTTTCATTTTATTTAATTTTTAACTGTCATTTCTAGAGTGTGCATCAAGGACAAATATAATTATAAGATCTTACTGAACTCTAGATGTCCATCAATGATACACCGGGGTCAACATCTGCCTCTGGTCTTTTTAGACACTTTTAAATGGATCTCAAACAAACCATTTCTGTTTTCTTTATTGTTTTCATCTCAACAAACATTCTAAATCAGGAAAGGCAACGTCTTTAGGACCAAAAAATATAATCTGGCAGGCCAGATATCACTGGTGAGCCTCTTGCTGACCACTGCTGTGGGCAGAAACCCACCTTTGACTTTACATCTCTTCCGTTCCTGCACATCACTCGTTTGTGTTGTGGCTGAAAATATAGGTCAGTTCTTAAGGGAGACTAATAATTACAACCTCGGCGTCTTCTGTTTTCACTTGGAATCATTTCGTCTTTGTATGCAGACCAAAATAAAATTAAATAGACCACATGAGAATGTTGTATCCTCAGAAATGTCTTTCCAATCCTATCCTGCTTTCTAAACCCTCCTGCCCTTGAACCACGGCCCTGAAACGAAGCCACGATGAGCTAACGAGGAGTTTTTCAAGGTCTTCCAGCCTCCATGCCTCTAAGTAACAACACAACATCCAGTTTTAGGCTGCTTCCTTACACACGCAGAGACAGAGGCATTAGTATTCATTTGCAGTTGCGTTTATGTCCACCTGGTGAACTGAAGTGCATAATTCACTCTACTTTATCTCGGTCTAGACTGCGCCAACAAAATAACCGCGGTAATGGCCTGATAAGGGCCGGTGTGTTTGTCCAGTGGATTAAAAAATTAGCTGCAGACAAATATTAGCAGCTACAGCGCTGGGCCCGTCTTTTAGAACAGGAACCACTGAAATACCACAGTGTGATGGCAACATTTGGAACACAACATTTAAACTACTCTGGGATGGCATTGCTTGACTTCAACTAAATGAAAGCCATCGGTGAAAAGGCCACTGTGGTCCACACAGTACCCCGATGGAACACGCTGGATCATCACACGGCCCACACACACTCACACACACACACGCCACATACGTTTCTGAAGAAGGGAGGCAAATGGAAATATGACGACAGAATGGAAATGTTGTGTGTGCCCCCCCCGCTGTTACACTCGGTCCTGTCTCACCGCGTTTTGCACCTTCCTGCTCTCTGCCCCATGCTGTGACCCTGCTTTCCTTATTCCTTTCCTTTCATGCCCTGCAGTTAATGCCTCCCCCCTCCTCCCCTTGCTCTCTATCTGTCTCTCTTTGCCAACCAAAGGTTTCTCTCTGTTGCTCCAGCTCACCACTTTCTCTTGAAGCCTTTCTCTCAAACCCCAGGAATCTTTGACGACCTTTTTTTTTTCTTCTTTTTTACCAGTAGATAATCTCCATTTTATCCTCCTTCACCGGTTCTCATTTATTCACCTACTACACGTTTTACGCAACTATTTCAGCCTCGCTGACCTTACTTTAACCAGCCTCGCTTTGTTCCGTTAAAACGACATAGTGGGATTTGCTTGGAACACAATTCACATCCTAACACTTGGGAATCACTCTGCAGGGTTAGAGGGAGCTGAGAGATCAATGCCTTGCTGGCTCACATCAGCCAAGAATCATTCTGCCTGTTTTTCCTTTCTCTAAACCCCCAGAAACTGCATTTTAGAAAGTTTATCGAAAGAACTTCCACTGTATCACCAAACCTCCATCCGTACCGTGCCCAGGAGTCTAAAAAAAACCAGGTTGAAAATTGATCAAACTGATAACTGGTAAATATAATGCAGATATTTCAACACCAGCCCTAACGTTCTG